TACCCTAATGAGAAGAGATTACTGCTGTACTCGAAACTGATCACCTATCCGGAGCTCCTTCATCCTTCTTGGAGAAAATTTCGTCTTTGTTACGGTAATCCCAGTTTCACACAAAAGATCCTTTCAATGCCCCTCCGAGGTTAGTAGCGCAGAGTCAATTACTAATACATACTTTGGTGGAGCAGTATTTCTTCTTTCACTAATCGAAACGATATTGCGGCTGTTGGGCGGCGGCGACGCATGTCCGCCAAAGGCTCACATCAAAGACTTTGACGGCATTACGCCATTACGTTACTACACACCAAATGGCTGATCGAAACCACATTTCGGAGCAATTTCGATGAAAAGCGACGCTTTTAGATCATTCGAAAAAACATGGATCAGAGATAGATAAATCTCTGATCCATTTTTTTTTTCGTGAAAAAAGTCGTAAGAAAAATAAAATTCGCTCATCTGTGATAAAAAACTATGAAAGCGATTGGGTTCGTTTTATGTGAAATATTTGAGAGTAACAACCTATACTAGATAGACGTGAGATGCATGGCGTATTCTCGCAAGAATTACCGACACTAATACTTCAACTTTGCCCTGAATTCTATCGAAAACAATCGCTAGGATAATATAATACGAGAAATCCTTGGGGGTACGAGACTTAGCGTATAGCTTTCGGAGAATCTCGCCAGGGAGTCAGTCATACATGGTCTCTGGGGGTCGTATTTGGACATGACAGAATCTTTTCCGAGTTGCGAAGAGAATTTTCTCTGTTGCTGACATTCCCAGGTTTTGCCCGTCCCATATGCTGCACTATGTATCCCTTTATTAGGCCCCATCGCAGAACCGCTTGACAATCGCTGTTTCCTATATCGACTTGATACGATATGAGTGACACCCTCGCCTCGTCCCATGGAGTTGGGATACCTTAAGAAGATGGTGGGGAAGGAGGTCGTATCGAAGAGGAAATTTGAGGTAGAGGGCAAGGGGAAGAGTAGTGTGACACCGCCGTTCCGAACCGTTGTCGTACCCTGACCGATCCCAGAATTATGTGGGGGAACCATGGATACGGTATGGGTACAGGACTGATCCCTGAAGATTTACTTTACTTTTGGTTCTTCGAAGGAGTGTTGCTGCTACAGCTTCTTCATCACTTTATTGGGGTATTACCTTACTTACTTCTACAGCTTTTTTTCACTTGGGCGCAGGCGGTGCAGGGGCAAGGGATCTGTTTGGGATCACGCGCATGACTCCGTTGTTAAATACACAGCCGGATTCCACACGGACTTCGTTTCACTTTCCAGGGTGAAGAGGACACCAGAAATGTCTGGAAGAATCCAAAACACTGACATGTTCAGAATACGCTGCCCTGCCAATCCCCTACCCCAGAATCGTTGTGCAGAGTCTATCACATTCGAAGTCTTTTGGCTTCTGAATGGATGTGGAATACGTGGCGCATTCCAGAAGGAGAGCTTCTTGAACTTCTTATCATCAATCACGATTCGCGGTTGCACCCCATCCAGAGAAGCGATCAGGGAACCGTATCTCAATTATTTTGAGTGGCTACATTTTTATTTCTTTGAGCGGAGATTAGCTGCATCAGCTCTCAACGAAGCTGACATGACCAAGGATGCGTAACTTCCGTGAGGATCTTACACGATCTTCGGGAGAAAACCGTCGGGTCACCGCCCGACTGATCTGAAGACGATATCAACAGGTAGCTAAAAAAGACTGAAAACCAAATGCACACCTCAAATGTTTTGGCGAACTTTCTATTGGCAGAAGCAATACCACGTCACCTCTCTCTCTCGCATGTCCCATGGATTTTTCCTCGAGCGCCACTTTCCCGATACTAAGTTCCCACCATCTTACCAGCTCCCCCAAATTATGCGGTTGAGCGAGAGGCTTTTCCAAAGCAAAACATGATCCCAACAGGGGCAAAATGCGACCAGTTTTGTGCTTTGCACAGGTGGTCACTCTGCTGTCGACCGATTTCAGTTGAAAAAAGAACGCACAACCAGGTGAATGCAGACTCAAAAACTTACCATAGCACCGAAACTGACAAGAACTTGGAAAGCTTTCTTCTCGAGAGGCGAAGAATCATAGATGGAGTAATTTCAGTAGATGAACCAGAGACGGAGAATCGTGTGCTAGCCAACTGATGGAGCAGAAGGTTGTGATAGGATCCGTCTTATAGAACGATCGTTTGCAGACGAGCACCGTTACTCGCTGTTGCACACCGTTTTCACAAAGTTTAATAAAAGCAAAGGTACGCAACAAACACGAAGTCTGTCGTTAACTCATTTTCCTTCGTTACTATCGTCTACCTCAATTTGAGCATATAGCGGACAATTATCAGTGATAACGTCAGCACCTTACCCAATCTCTTTAGAATCTATAATTGGTCGAGCTAGCATTCACCCTAATTCCCGAAATTCTTGCACCTTTTCCTTTTTGGACTGGCTAGAGCAACCTAGATTTCGCATTCCAGCCATTCACCCCTATGTCGTTCAGTCATCGCCGTTCAATGGTTCATTAAGCAACGGGCCTCGAGTCCAGAGCCTTTCGAATTATATCTGATCAGAGGATGGCCTAAGGGTCATCACAAGACCCTATGAGTTGCCATTGTGGCAAAGTATGACTCTGCCTCACAGCGCAAATGCCCAAAATTTTTTTACAGCCAAACTCTGGGGATTGCTCCAAAACCATCTGAATAACGCTCGAAACAGCGGATCGTTCTTCTCCACCTCTTGGCTCTGCACCCATCTCTGTCTCCAGCTCTTGTTCTCTCAGCGCGCAACTGCCTTCTTCCTCTCTCAGTCCGCATCCACCTTGTTCTTCTCCTTCCTCTCCTTCAAGAGGAAGAATAAGAAGAAGAACAGATGAGGAAGGCATGATGCAAGCAAGTGATTGGCACAGAATGGCAGGAAACGACTAGGACTGATCGTGCAAAGCCTGACACACTAACGGACTAATTATTAGCGAAAATAAACAAACTGTCGGCCGCAACTCGGACCTCCCTGTGCGGCACTTCTTACTAATTTTTGGACTAGGTTACGAACAGAAGATCTAAAGAAACAGTAGTGCTGGTGGTGGTGACAGCATCGATCTCTTGCTTCTCATGGCTACCCCAAGGCTCTAGCGGGCAGCTTCTTCCGAGAAATTAGCGCACGAGTCACCAAACCAGTTAGGAAACCTAAAGCTATAGCCGATTACAGGCTGGATGTTTGCCACGATTTTTTGTTTTTTTCGATTTTTTTTGCGTCCCACATAGGACTTCGAGTAGATCTGCAGGCTACTGTTGTTCTTTTTTCCTGTTGCTCACTGTTTTTCGATAACCTCAATCTATTATTATTGGCACAACCATTAAGATGGAGACCTCCTCAATGGTGATAACTGCGAGAATGGCAACCGCGGTCTTAATTTCAACGAGAAATCGCCTGCCTACAGCGATGCTGCCGGAATAAATACTCAGGAGCATTCTTGGTGGGTTTGCCTTCAGTATTTCATGACTTTTTGCTGCGAAACTTCCCACGTCCGCAGGCCGAGTTAGTTTTATCAAAACAACGACAGAGCGTTATATAATCCGCGATTATGTGAATATCAGCAGATCAGTACGATCCCCTAGAATTTCTTCTTTGGGCACTCACCGTTTACAACGTTTTCTTGGTGGACCACCTTTTAAAAGTACTACTCAATTTCTTGAAAATGTTTGGAGGAGGGAGGGAGGGAAAGGAGGGAGGCGGCAGAAGATGCATCCAGAAAGCGGCAGAATAATACTACCACGAAATAGTTTTCGATATCTCGGTATCATCAAATCCCTTTCGAACAAATCGCGACCCCTCCACTTCAACGGTCACATAACCCTGGTACTGACGATAAATCAGGATTTCGCCACCAAGGATTTCTTTTAGGACACACATCCTCCTATTTCTTTGACTATATCTTGATTATCAATGCCTATCTATGTAGAATGACACCTGGCAGTCGCCTCTGTGTCGCTCTTTACACCCAACAAAGAATTTGCTAGAGCACAGGCAATCAGAGTACAAAGTCGTCAGAGTCGAGCAGTTCAACGACGGAGGGGGGAGGGGGGGGTGCTTTGCACTTTTGCTACTTCCCATCGACGTGTCGACCCATCTAGACAGCCTCTTCTCGAGTTGACAGGTTTTACCATGATGGCTTGACGAGCTTGCTCCAGCTTCACAAGAGTTCACAGGTTTCACCAGAGTGAGACTTGTAAACCAGAACTAGTGAAGCAACGAAAAGCAAAATGCCCCCCCCCCGTCGCCGAACTGTGCCGTCAGAGTGTCATGACAAAACCATCGAGTCCGCAGCGTCGCGAACTATGACAATGCCTCACAGCGCAATGTGGAAACTTCATGGCCAAACATTGAAATGCTCTAAGCCATTATATAAGGAATACGGGGGAGAGTGCGGGCTAAGACACGACTCGTCTTCAAGATGCGGCCTAGGGCTAGTCTCGCAGATTCTCTACTAAATCTAAGCCTAAGGGGACCGATACACATGCGCGGTTGAGTGGTCGTCTCAGCCCCCCCCCCTCCCTCCCACGAATGCCCAAGCGCCAGTTTTTCTTGTTTTCTCAATCTGACAACCTCGTCGGATCAGTTTCAGTGCCTAATTCAATGAACATTGAATTGAATCGATCATTGCATCACCTTTTTGTTGAGAAATTCAATCATTTTTGCCCCTACCCTTTGCTATTTCAGATCGATGCGGAACTCACTTCTCATAAACGACCATGGCCAATTTTTCGTCTTTGACGACCTCATGGAATCGTACGATATTCTCATGATCGACGGTGTTGTACATGTCAATATTGCGTTGTAGCGCGTCATCAAGTGGTTTCAATTGAGCCAAAAATTCCTCGCCAGTCCTCTTCTCCTTCACCCAAAACGGTGCTCCGCTGGTCGCCAACCTGCAAATACCGCCATCAGTCGTCATTAACTGCCCTCAATGCCTCCGTGTACCCGTAACACCTGAACATATCGTGCTCCGTTGCTAATGTCAACGGAATACGGTATATACATGTGTGACGTGTCATGTGGCGATTGGTCGGCACGTTTTTCGACAGGACTTGGCGGTATTCGCAGCGCGGCGTCCGGCGACCTGTGCAGTTCCTCATGTGCTATGCAGTCGGTCGTCCTGTGCTCTATCCAGAGCTACGGTTCTATTCTATCGATCGATCACAAGTGTTATTGATTCTACTATTGATTGATGAAAACCAATTAGATTTACACTCGTTCTACACATGATAGAATATAACCGTCACTCTGGTGCCAGTGCATCAAACATGTTGATATCTCGCTTCTGACTGACGATGGAGACCGACGCAACACGCGAAAATGCACACGATCCGTCCTACCGTACCTTCGAGTGAAGTGGAAGAGAAGTGAAACTGGAAACTGACGAGAATTCCCCTTCGACTCGATCGAAAACCACCGTACACGCACGCAAAGACATGTTGGTCGTCATCTGTTGTGGAGAACTAATCAATAAATCGATAATCGGTTAGTCTCCACAACAGGCGACAACTCGTGTGTTATGCCACATGGACTGACACGGACACAAATATTGATTAGTTGAATTTATTGATTGACCACAACGAGGCGCTGCGCGGCCGGGCGCAAGCGCACTCGCTCAGGCACGCATGACCGGAATCGGGACTAGCCCTCACATAGCTTCTTATGCAAAAATCAATAAATCGATTTTCATACAACAAAAATGAAATAAGCAAAAGGAAGCCATGTGACGACTGTACAATAGCGAACACATTTTTTAAATACAAAATGAGCAAATTAAAAAAGAAAAATCATGTGATAAGAGAGATTTGCAGAAGATAACAAGTGAGGCAGACGCGGCGAAGTGAACGTGGGGTGGGATGATGGCGATGGTGAATGTCTTCTTTGCAGGACCAGCTAGCCGGCCACCCACGCGTCGCGTCTCCGGCAAACTCAGTCAGCGACCACCTAATTACGGTACGGGGGGAAAACGACGGATGTGCTGTGAAGGGAAAGATGATGCGTGCATGTGATTTGATCTACACTAATCGATATAGCTCTATGCAGGAACGAAAAGGGGCGGAGCAAAATACCAGAATGTCGAGAGAATTACACATCGCATCACACATCACGAAAGGCATTATGTAGACGAAGCGGTCAAAACAGGGCGGCAGAAGGATGTTGGGAGCAAAAAAAATCATGAGCAGTGGCGGCATGGCACACATACACATATACACACGTGCATACACATATAGAAATATATTTGTCTATTTGTTTGTTTGTTTGCGAATCTATCTTGTCTATACATATACATGACGATGATCATGAGAATAAATCACGTTTCATCTTCTTCAGCAATCTCGTAGATTTCACGAATCTTTCGCGCTTCCACCATCGCTCGTTTCTTCGGCAATTCGACGTCGTTGAAATCGCCATCAGCTGAAAAAAACCAATAAATCAATATCCACCAAGATAATTTTACGAAGAATAGCCACAACTTTTATAGAAAATAGACAGTTATCGAGAAGGTTCTACCGCTCGTTCAGAAAAGAGGAGTACCAGGGAATCTTGATGTGGCTATTCCGGAAATCGGAACACGTAAATCGAAAGCAATGGGACCTTATAGAGCAACGAGCTGCTCGTCAAGAAATCCAAGCGGCGCGCTGTTGCAAATGGCGCTGCGCCACGTTTGCACCATAACCACTGATTCGACGGGAAAAGCGCTACGGTAAGCAAAGCCAACAACAGTAACTACAGCACAACTAGTACAGTATCACGGAAATCAGCCAGGGCGTATGCACGCAGGGTGAGCTTTGGCGCGGTGCCAGCCCGTTTTCCATCAATCGTTGCGGCTTCGGGCGTTCAATGAGTGATGGAAAACAAACTGCCGCCGTGCCAAAACCCACGCCCCGCTGACACGCGACTAACCGTGATAACGGCTGCAGCTTGCGAATGCTGTTCGCGCCGAGCTAACATGGACCTTCTGACCCGCCCCCCCCCCCCCCCCCCC